AAAAGGTGCCATTCATTTCATGAGCCTTAAGTAGAGCTCTATTCTGTAGGAAGATATGATGGGGGTTCGTAAATGCCACATTGTTTGGCAGTGAGAAGTGATATCTACTCAGGTTTTCCTACAGTCTAAGACCCCCCTCATGATCATTCCTCATTTACCATCCTGTCACTGCTCTCCTTCAGTTCATCAGAAATGCTGCTTCTTTGTTTCCTCATAAGTACTGGATTTGGCTGCCACTTAAATCAATTATACATATCTTTGAAAATTCATTAACCTTAATGTTTCTGATTTGCCCTATGTAGTAGAAGATTTGTGTCTTTAGTGAGTTAACTTCACAATAATATCCCACCATTTTGTGCATGGATATGTGGAGAGGAGTGATTCAGAGACTTACTGTTGCATGACTGTTGCAAACTCACTTCCTGGGACATACTCACATTATTAAAGCTGATTTGCATAGCAAGCTGAAGGCAACAAATCTGAATGCTGGCCAGCAGTATGAAGTGTGGGACAGACATTTGATTTCAAGAAGATGCATGATGGAGTGGTGTGTGTGTGTGTGTGTGTGTGTGTGTGTGTGTGTGTGTGTGTTTGGGAGAGAGAGAGGGAGAGAGAGAGACTATATGCACACTCGGTGAACACCTTTCTGAAAATCTTAATCTGTTCTTACAGTCCTTGTGTAAAACCATCCAATTTCCCAAAAGCTTTTCCTATGTGTACTCTGAGAACAGGAAATACCATAAAGCCCAAGATATTCTTTGTTTTAAATACAATTATTCTGTTGATTAACCAAAAAATCCTTGATATCTATTTGTAATATTATATTTTCCCAAAATTACTAGCAGTATTTCTTTCAGTATTTGTTCATCCCAGCCTAGAATACATCAAACGTTCCTCTGCTGATGTACAGTGCCAGTTTTCAGTAAAACTGGAACACCAAGATTAAGATTGGTGATTTTTTGGGTATGCCTGCACTGAGATGGGGAACAGGTTTCCCAGTTTGAGTAGAAAGGCATGTGCTAGATCCACTTGAGTTAGTGTGCTAAAAAATATCAGTATAGTGGGGTTACATCAGCTAGCATCTTCACTAACCACCTGAATACAAACCCACCCAGACCCTTTGGGTCTGTATACAAGGCCACATCTATACTTACCCAGAAGTTTGAATCAAAACATGCAACCCTAGCTACCTTAATTGAATAGCTGATGTCAACGTATCTTGATTCAAACTTTGGTGCCATCCTCACAGTGAGAGGTCGATGGGAGAAATGCTACTGTCAACTTCCCTTACTTCTCATGAGGAGTAGGAGTACCGGTGCTGATGAGGGTGCCCTCAGCATTTGATTTAGCAGGTCTTTACTAGACCCATTAAGTCAAACACCAGAAGATCGATCTCCAGAGTGCCAATCCATGGGTAAGTATAGACGTGGACCTAAGTGGCTAACCTGAGCCACTGCCTGTGCCACGATATTCAAAGAGAGCTAGCATATGTCTATCTGCGTAAGCTGGGGAGCATGGTCCTAGCTGCAGTGTAGATCTGCTCTTAGGGTTTGAGGTTTTTTGAACCTCTCAAATTATTTTGGGGGTATGTGTGCAAAACTATTCAATCTGCAAACAATTTCCCATGTATTCTGTCCACTGGAGTAAAAGTTAAATTAAATGCAGTATGAAGAATTGAACAACTAGTTAAAGGAACGCTAGGTATTAGTAATATAACTATCCCTTGCTCCAAAAGAACTGCTTTTTTGTTTGTTTTTTACTTGAGTCAGGTAACTTAGAAATTTCTGTTATGCGGTTAGAGGAACCGTAATGATGGGTAGGCCTGCTGGCGGGGGCGAAGGGAGCCCTGGTGATTCAAAAGGGCCCAAGGTTCCCAGCTGCTGCTACCACTACTGTAGCAGCAGCGAGTGGGGTCTGGGGCCCTTTAAATTGCAGCTGGAGTGCAGTGTGGTGCTCTCCAGGTAGCTCTGAGGTATGCTAGGGGACGGGGGAGTGCAGCATAGTGTGCTCCAGTTGGCATTGAGAGCTGTTTGTCCCAGCCCTGCCCCTTCTGCCCAAGACCCCGCCCTTTCTGGGAGCACAGAGCTGGCCCCCCACATTGCACAGGGGCCCAGCAAGTCTGTTGGTGCCCTCTGATGATGGGTGCCAGTATAAGAACCTAGACTAAAATGTATGGGTACCAAATCATGCCTTCCTACCCTTACTACAGTCACTCTGCTGAAACATTCATTACAGTTAGAGTTTTCTGGAAGTGGGCCTGCTGCAAAACAAAACTCTACAGCCTTTTCCTGTTGTCAAAGCACCCTACCTGTGCCATAAACCAAGCCCTTCGGAGCACCACTTTGGGAATGGAATCCCCTCACTTGTGGCTGGGACAGGATTTTCTTGGTATAAAATAGGCCAAACAGTCATGCAAATACTCACACAGCAATATTGTAAGGGTTTTAATAAATTTCTTACTGTTACACATTTCCAAACTTCATAGGCTGATTCAGTATGTTATGTCAGCACAATAACTCAGTGATTTGCTGGATGCTTTCAAAACACCAAACAACAAATTAATCATGTTACATTATGCATGCTGCAGTCCAGACTTGTGCAAAAATTCTATCATCATAGGGAAAAATAAGTCATATTTTAATCGATTTGGGAAACATATCACACTTAATTGTTTGTCAATTTTTAATGGGCATTAGGAGAACAAACTTCACAGGTAGAAAATGCATTCACGTGTAGCTATTCACAGTGTGAAAAATGTCTGTGAACTTCTGGTGTTATTGTGCATAAAATCCCTGATGCATCATGTTCAGAAATATTCAAGTTCAGATTTATACAGTATAATCTAAATGCAGAAAATCAGAAAAAACATGTGAAATAAAACATGAAAGTACCTCTAAAGGTGGGAGGGTTTGGAGGGAGAAATGACATTCAACAGCATCAGGCATAGTACAGTATGTTTTATTAGCTATAAAACTGTTTTAGTCGATGAAGAGAGGTTTTTTTGGACACATCTCAAGCTTCTAGAAGTTTACATGAAACTACATAATCTCTATTTTAATACATTTAGTTCTGTATTCTATCTTCTTTTTATCCATCCTTGATTAAAATATCACCTTTAAGACAACAGCTGAAGTTGGCACATCTCTAACTGCCTCACAACTTCAAGGGAATAAATTGACTCTGTGATAGCAAGGAGTTCATTAGTTCTTAGATAATAGAAAGATATTGTGTTCTTTATTGTTAAAAAACATTGAATTGCATCCAGAAAACACTGTTTCAAATGTTGGAAATGGAAGAAACTGAATGTAAGGGAACAGATAGTGCCAAGAATGTAAGTGGTTCCATTATGTCAGTGTTTCCACCTAAAATCTGGCTTTCTAGAAGTTTGAGTTAGCTTTTTTAATATGGGACAAAATTTTGTCAGATCAGACACTAATTATTTTACATTCTAAATTCTTTTAAAGTGTAATTCCTATTTTATTTTTTGGCCCAAATCTAGCTTAAAGTATAATGATAAAAACATAAAATCGCATTAATTGCTACATTTCAAAATGTCCTTGCTAACTGTGAACAATATCTGACCTTACAAAGAAATGGAGCTCACAAATTCCCTTTTATTCTTAGGGTGTGTCTACACTTCAGAGTTTTGTTGAAAAAATGGCCATTTTTCTGACAAAACTGGCAGAATGTCCACATTGCAATCGTGTTGTTTCTAAAGTAAATCAAAAGAACAGAGGGATTTTTCCAGTGTTGTAGAAATCCACTTTCTACAAGGAAGAACGCCTTTTCCGAAAGAGCTCTTTTGGAAAAAGGTGTGGTGGATGGTGCGGAGGGATTTTTTTTCGAAAAAAGAGGCCTCCAGGAAATAGCACAGGTGGCCTGGTAGCCACTCCATACAAAGTATAGTTCCTGTCACCTGGCCCCTCTTAAAGCTTCAGGCACCCTGGACAAGCCTTGTGGCAGGAAGCTGGCCTGAGAGCAGCACCCTGACCATGCGGCTCTCCCTGCCACAGGCATTGCCACCCATGACCCAGCCTCAAGACCCCGAAACCTGCGTGGTCCTCAGGCTCTTGCAGGGAGCATTCCGGGGGGAACCCAGGACCCACCAAGGGGGACCAAGAGGCGGCACCCTCCTGGTCCGGACCAGAGATCCTGTCCCTCCTTAAGCTGTGGAGTGAGGAGGAGACCTTGCAAGATCTCTGGGCCAAGCACCTCAATGTGGACATTTATGGCTGGATGGCCGAGTCCCTGGCGGAGCGCGAACACCCTCCCCGGACCTTGGAACAGGTCTGGAGTAAGGTTAAGGAGCACCGCCAGGGATATGTCAGGGCCAGAGAGCACAGCTTGAGCTCAGGGGCAGGGCCCCACACCTGCCCCTACTTCGATGAGCTGCACCAGTTCCTGAGGGGTGGGGAAATGTCTTTCCCACCCATCCTCATGGACTCCAGCTTGGAGACCCCCATCATCACTCGGCCAGAGGTCTCGGCGGAGGAGATGCAGGAGGACCAGGGCCAGGCAGAGGAGGAGGAGGAGACGGGCACCGTGACCCTCTCCCTGGAGCCAGTGCCTGCTACTGCAGTATGGTCATAAACTGCATCTGGGCCTCAATAGCCTTCACTTCACTGCATGGCTTGTGAGTGGCTAGATAAGTAGGACAGATCATGTTCCTTGGCAATTCAAGAGGTCCCACTTTACAATAGGAAAACACTCAACAAGGACAACTTACATGGCTCATCCTTCTAGTTATGAGCTACAATCTTTGGAGGCAAGGATCCATATTAGAACACATCTTAATTTGAAATCCTCGGCCCTTTCTATGAGTTTCCTCTGAGTTTACCTTCAGCAATCTCAGCTATCTATCCTCCAGTCCAAGGAGCTTAGTATTCTTCAGGTGCCTTTAAGACCAATGTGCTAATGGAACTTTTCTCTGGTACATTTAATGTATTTTAAATGGAAAAAATACTTAAATTCTTTTCCCCAAACTCTTTTTTCTTTTGTAGGTGAGAAATCTGGAAATGACCAAGAAGAACTTGCATTGCAGAATGCCAGCAAACAGATTGTGCAAACTGCCATTCTGCAGGCTGTTCAGCAAGTCTCTCAGGAGACTCAACAAAAGGAGAAGAGAGTAAACAGCAGTGTGAGCCTGCAGTTAGAAAGAGGGGAATTAACCAAGAAGCATGAAAAAAAGTGAAAGCGTGAACTATTTGCATTGGTCCTCCAGTTGGCAATATGTCCAGCTTTCCTCTTAGTTTGTGTTGCCCCCAGTGCAATGTTACTACTGTAAAGCAAACCAAAGTATAATCAGCACCTAGACATAGAGTAAAGCTGCAATAGGCCTCAACTAAGAATTATTAAGTGCATTAGGTGATTAACTTCATATTTATGCAGTGCCTCTTAATCATAATAACATAAAAATACTGTAGCTATACAATAGTTTTAAGCACAATCTCTTAAGGTATGGTTTTATATGCAAAAGCTAATTGTTAGTGCATTTCTGTATCAATCTCATGTGTACCATCTGTGTCTATTTAAATGGCAGATATCTCCACAAGTAACAGATTTTATTAGGGGTTGTCTACATCAACTAAAGAGTATACTGTAGAATGTAGGGGTATGTCTACACTACCCCACTAGTACAGCACAATATTTATCAAAATACTTAATGCATGGGGCACGAACTAGGTAGTTTGAACTAGGCTTCCTAGTTCGAACTACCGTTACTCCTCATTCCACAAGGAAGCCTAGTTCGAACTATCTAGTTCGTGCCCCGTGTAGCCGCGCTGCACGGGGTTCGAACGAGCGGGGTTTTAAAAATGGCGGCGCCCCGCTTATGCAAATGAAGCCCAGGAAATTCAAATCCCGGGCTTCATTTGCAAGTGCGGTATGCCTACATTACCCTCCTAGTTCAAACTAGGAGGGTAGTGTAGACATACCCTAGGAGATCTGCTTTCAGGTTACCTTGATATGTGAATTTGTGTTTTATTTTGATAAATATTGTGCTGTACAAAATATCAGCTGTAAAAATGGATTTGGAAAGTTTCATACACAAACCTCTTTCAGTCTTTTACAATCTCTTTACAAAGTATATTATCCATAAACATATAGTTCACTGCTTTTACGTATGCTGAAGATGATCTAAATGGCTGGTACATTTCTAATCTTCTGCACAAAAATAATTTGTGAGCCTCAAAGCGTCCTTTAATTTTGTCAATAATAATACAGCTACCTAATTCTTCCTCTGGTTTTGCAAAGTCATATGTGCTTAGATTTATACCTACTAATAGAATTATAATAGGTAACATATGTAAAAGCTTTTGAATGTATGAAAATTTACAAGATTGAAAATACACTATGAATTAATTTTGTGATAGTAGACATTTGTTTCCGAATTGCTGGGTTTAAAATGACTTCAACTATTTGCAGTCTTAATATAGATTGACATTATATATATGTACTAAAGTGGTAACACTTAAAAATGCCCTTAAATGCTAATACTAAATTGGTACAGAAGTGCATTAAGTATACACGAAACCCAAATTAACTGAAGGTGACTTTTTCACTTTATGTTCAGCTGTTGGGGTATGTCTACACTACATGACTCCGTCGATGGAGCCATGTAGATGAAGGTTGTAGACATAGCAAAATGAAGCAGCGATTTAAATAATCGCCGCTTCATTTACATCAAAATGGCTGCCGCGCTGTGCCGATCAGCTGTTTGTCGGCACAGCACGGTAGTCTGGACGCTCGGCAGTTGACATCAAAAGCCTTTGTCAACCACCGCGTTATGCCTCGTGGGATGTGGTTTACCAGGGCAGTCAACAAAGGCTTTTGATGTTGACCACCGAGCGTCCAGACTACTGTGCTGTGCTGACAAACAGCTGATCGGCACAGCACGGCAGCCATTTTGATGTAAATTAAGCGGCAATTATTTAAATCGCTGCTTCATTTTGCTTAAGGACTTAGTTCGAGTTAACTTTTGACCGCCGCATGTAGCCGCAGACAGTTAGTTTGGATTCGGGGGATTTAAAAATGGTGCCCGGACGGGAAGATGCAAATAAATCCCGGGATATTTAAATCCCGGGTTTCATTTGCAACTTCGAATGCCTATATTAGCCTCCCTAGTTCGAACTGGGGGGCTAGTGTAGACATACTCCAACAGAAGGAAGAAACTGTTGTGGTGGTGGCAGTGTTGTTGTTGTTGTTTTTGATCATATGACATATGGCTGAGGGAAGGCATCACCGGTGAGCTGAAAGATGGTTTCTCTCTAAGCAGCCATTATATCATTAATTTCTCTGGAAGTCTAAAAAACGTAGATCAAGAGTAAGGTCCATTCTGAATGTGCCAGGCAGGAAAGGACAATTTAGAATATGATGCTAGATTGGAGTGACTCCATGTCTGGAGGCTGAGAATGCTTTCCAGCCACTGAAGTATTTAGCTGGGGCATGTCTTTACTTACCAGAAAATTGACAAGGGTTGCCAACCGTCAGTAAATTTACAGACAGTCCGTAAAAAATTAGCTGAAATTGAACATGTCCGTAAAGTTTGCAAAAAAATTTCAAAAAACAGCAATTATTCTATAGCAATTAAATTTCTTCTGTGCTGCTTCAGTCATTTTACTGCGGAGCAGCGGAAATTGGATGTTTTAGTTGTTTATTTAGCTCAATGGTTGAGGTGATTCACGTGATGTTATTATCTACATTATCCCGCCGAGTTAGCGTCAGCACATTGGCAATTTATGTAATTTAATATTGTTTACTGTTAAAATTTGCAATGTCAAAATCAATTAGAAGAATGGATTGTGCACCAAAACAAATATAAGAAATAAACTCTCTACTCCTATGCTTGAAGGATTAATAACTGTCAGAAATGGATCTGGGACAATTACTTCAGCTATGGTTAACAACAGCCGTGTTCAGATGTATGATCACAAAATGGAAAACTTCTAGGACCATGACTAACTAAATGAAAGTGAGTTAAATAGCATATTGTTCTTGTGATGTATGAATTACAATGATTACTTTTCACTTTTGGCCATTTATGTCGTCCTAATATAGTATAAAAATTATGTCCTTAAAAAGTTTGTCCGTCTGTAAATTTCCCCCATTTTGTCCGCAAATGAAATTTCTGTGGGTTGGCAACCCTGAGTTGGACACTGTGAAGGTTGCTGGCATCTGACACTACTCCTTTTGTGAGGAATAAGAGAAGCTGGCAGGAGCGCTTGCTCCCGTCAGCCTCCTGCAGTGTGAATGCTGCCATGGCTTAGCTTAAGGTAAGCTGACTCCAGCTATGGATTTTATTTTGCTGGGGTTGCGTACCTTAAGCTGACCTTCCAGGTCCAGTGTAGACCTGGCCTTGGAGTACAAAGGAAAGGAGATGCCTATTGTCCTTGTGAGGATATTCTTTCAATTCACAAAAAACAGCCCAGCTTATACTTTTCCTTCTCAAAGTTGCTTCTAAACTGTCTTTTGTCAACAATCTTGACTCTCATATATGCAAAACCCTTTAGTGCAGTTTCAAAACCTCTTTGAACCACTAGTTCTCAAAACTAAAGTGCATTGTGCATCACGTTCCTCCTTAGCTTACTGGCAATATGGCCTCTCAGAATTCTAGAACACGTTTTGTTATGTTCAGTGTCTTAGTCATTTTTTAACACTCTTTTCGACAGGTAATTCATGTCCACCAATTGCATGGTCATGACAGAAGTCTGAGTTCTCAGAAACAGGGAAAATATTTTATTCTTTGTCCAATCTGCTTATTTTTCAGACTGAAACTTTCAGTCACATTAGATTAAAACTACAGATGGATCATGGAGGAAGATTCTTGAAAATGATAGTTATCTAAATAGTATAATTTCTCTTAGAAGTTCAGGATGGGTCTCATATCCATTGTATATATCTGTGACTGTACACTTATCTCTTCTGTTGACAATTGAAGTTCCTTTACATGGGTTGCATTCAGAATATGTAGCTATGATCTGCTCTGTGTGTAACTGAGTAGCAGTGTGTAGCTCACAGAAGAATTTGTCCTATCATGATGCATATTCATTATCTGCTTCTTAGTATTTGGTAGGAAGATTATATTTCTGGAGAAAAATAACTGACTAGAAATTATTACAGATAAAATGGAGGTGTGTTTACCAATACTAAAAATTTCAGGTGGTACACATCTCTAATGGGTGGGTGTATATTAATATCAGAAGAAAAGCAATATTCACTAGACATGTTTTCGGTGTACAAATAAGAAATCATGGGGGTAGGATGAATGCAGTGTCCAACCCAAACACTCATATTTTAACAGTTTGATACAATCAAAATATTTAAAGTGTGATATAGAATAATTTCAGCAAAACCCAAAAATGCTAAGTTAGGTTGGCTACTTCTGTGATTATCCCCAGCCATGCTTATTGATACCTTTCTTGTTAGATTAGATTCTATAATTTATTTTTAGGTAACAGCAACACATAATATTTGTGATCAAACATTTCCTCTATAGATTTTGCGGGAAATAGAAATAAAATATTGTGTTTAATTTCCTGGGTAATGTATGTCCATACTTTTCATTTATAATTTGGAAACATGCTTGTTTTCATTTTAGTGCATATGAATTTTATTTATGACAACTTAATATTGTTGCTAGAGTTTGAACATCTTGTATATCTCCTGGCATTATCACAAAAAGTACATGCCACATTTTAATTAGAGTTACTGTTAATCATTTTGTCTAACTGAATTTCCACAATCATTACAGCATCTGAAAATGGAAATTGCCAATAATAATAAACATACACATCAGTTAAGAGAACCTTTTACTGATGGAACTTAAGTGAAATATATAATTGTCTTTTTTGTATGTGATATGAAATACAAATGCTATTAAGTTGCTAGATATATATTAACAGAAGGAAAACAAACTTCGGGTTCACTAGATAATCTCTCATAGTGCACAAATAGCAGATGATGAGAGGAAGATGAGTGTTTCATTCAACCCAAATACAATACAAATAAAGCTTGTCTGTGCAGGAGAGAAAACTTTCTCCAAGGCTGGTCCAAGCCTATGGTATGAATTCATTCACAAAATGACCAGCACAGATGTCACTGTTTTTGACTCCCAGTACAAGGTGCATTTCTTTGACCTTGTCTTACATAAGTACGTAGCAACAGGTATAACTATTTAAAAAACAACAACAAAACCCCCTACTCAAACAAGGCACTTTACTGTACATGCTTCTGCAGGGGCGGGGGAGGGTGTAGAGGGGCAGGAGTAGATGAAGGAACAAGCAACAGAAAACAGCTGCGAGCCACATTGATTAGTGCATTACTGGAAGATGCTGATATATTACAGTTATGAGTGTGGTATGAATGCAAAATATTTTTTTAAGGAGACTGACATAGTTGGATTGGAATCATTGAGGATGAAATAGCTACTTGAAAGGATATGGAAGAGAACACATTCCATTGGTTACCTACTTGGATCACTGATTCAGTAATAGACTCCATGAGGGCAAAGCTCTGAGCCTTTGCACAGCCTCACTGATTACAAGGGGACCCTACAAGACTGCCAGGGGGTCTACCTGCACACAACAGCTTGTAGGATGATGTACTTAGTGGATTAAGAAGTGAGTTTACGGTAATGTATTCTTCCCCAGAGCAGTGTAGGCTTACCAAAGGCAGAGGTATTATTCCTAGTACTCTCATTAATTTTTTTTTAAATGGAAGACTGTTATTCTC